GTATATGAATGTAGTGGGTTGTACTGTAAGAAATGATGAGCATGCAGATTGCAGAAAAACCTGGAAAGACTTATATGAACTGATGCTGAGTGAAGTGAATAGAACCAGGAGAATATTGTGCACAGCAGCATTATGTGATGATTACTATGATAGACTTAGCTCTTCTCAGCAATACAGTGATCCAAGATAATTCTAAAAACCTGTGATGGAAAATGCTAACCACATCCAGAAAAAGAATTATGGAGTCTGAATGCAAATTGAAGCATACTATTTTCACTTTTTTTTTGTTTTGTTTTTTCTTTCTAGTGGTTTTTCCCTTTGGTTCTGATTCTTCTTTCACAACATGACTAATGTGGAAATGTTTAACATGATTGTACATGTATAACCTATATCAGATTGTTTGATATCTTGGGGAGGAGGGAGGGTACGGAGGGAAGGAGAAAAATTTGGAACTCAAAATTTTACAAAAAAGAATGTTGAAGACTGTCTTTACATGTCATTGAAAAAAATACTGTCAAGGGCAAAAAGTTCATGTTCTCTGGTCAACAGTGATATAAAGGGTACAATTTGTTTTTATTTTTAAAAATATTTTTATAATGCATTTTTACTGATAGCCTTTGTTTTGACATCCCCTAAATTTACTATTTCCCTCCCCCTACCTCTTCCCAGAGGGCCTTTCTATATAACAAATACGTTTTTAAGAGGAAGAAAGGGAAAAAAAACCCACAGAATTGATCAATACATTGAAAAAAATCTGACAATAAGGGGGAGGTGTTTTCTTATACCTCTTCTTTTGGGTCATGCTTGTTTTTTCTGATTTTGCAAATTGAGTTTTATTGTTTGTTGTTCTTTCTATCTGCATTGTTTTAATCATTGTGTATATTGTTTTCTTGATTCTGCTTACTTTACTCTGCTTCAGTTTATGTAAACTTTCCATGCTTCTCTGTGTTCCCCATGTTTGTCATTTCTTGCAGCATAGTTATATTCCATTTAATTCATGGACTACAATTTGTTTAGCCATTCCCCAATTGATGAATTACTTTATTTTCATTTTTTGCTATCACAAAAGTGATGCTATAAATATTTTGGTATATATGAGGACTTTCTTTTTATCAGTGACCTCCTTTTGATATATACCTAGTTATAGAATCTCTGGGTCAAAGGTATGGACATTTTAGTCACTTTATTTACATAATTCTAAATTGTTTTCGTAGTCTGTTTAGCAAAATGAAGTTTCCCTGCTTATGTCTTTTAATTAGATCTGTTTTTGCTCTTGCTTTGTCTGAGATTATCATTGCTACTCCTGCGCTTTTTTAAAGCTTCATCTGAAGCATGATAGATTCTCCTCTACCCCTTTACCTTACTGTACAGTTCTATCTCTCTGTATCCGATGAATTTCACATAAACAACTTATTGTAGGATTTTGATTTTTAATTACTCTGCTTCAGTTTTATGGGTGAATTCATCCCATTCACATTCACAATTATGATTACTGTTTATTTCCCTTTAACCCTGTTTTTTCCTGTTTATCTTTCCCTTTCTCTTCTTTCCCCTGTACCTCCTCAAAAGTGTTTTGCTTCTGACCACCACCTCCCCCAATCCACCCTCCCCTTCTATCAGCCCCACCCCTTGTTCTCCTCCCTTCCTACTTCCCTGTAGAATAAGATAGATTTCTATACCCAACTGAGTATGTATATTATTGCCTCTTTGAGTCAGTTCTGAGGAGAGTAAGATTCAAGCTGCCTGCCACCCCCCCATCTTCCCCACAATTATAAAAGTTCTTTCATGCCTCTTTTATGCGAAATAATTTACCCCATTCTACCTGTGCCTTCTCCCTTCTACCGGTGTTTTCCCTTTTCTCATCCCTTAATTTTGTTTTTTTTGGATATCATCCCATCATAGTCCACTTAACCCATGCCCTCTGTCTATGTACATGTCTTCTAACTGTCGTAATAAAGAAAAAATTCTTAGGAGTTACAAGTATCATTATCCCATGTAGGTTGTAAATAGTTTAATCTTATTGAATCCCTTATGATTTCTCTTTCCTATTCACCTTTTTATGATTCTCTTTAGTCTTATATTTGAAAGTCATATTTTCTGTTCGTCTCTGGTCTTTTCATCAGGAATGCTTGAAATTCCTCAATTTCATTAAATGTCCCTTACCCCCTTACCCCCCCAAAGGACTGTACTCAGTTTTGCTGGGTAGATGATTCTTGGTGGTAATCCTAGCTCCTCTGCCCTTTAGCTTTTTGGTCCTTTAAATGTAGAAGCTGCTAAATCTTGTGTTATGCTGACTGTGGCCTATTCTGTTTTTTAAGGTGTTATTTTTTTTTTTAGCACTTTTTTTGTGCCTCCTTTACCAAGCTGTTGACTCTTTTTTGCATCACTTTCATTTCTTTTCCCCATTTTTCCTCTGCCCCTCTTATTTGGTTTTTAAAATCCTTTTTGACCTCTTCCAGGGCCTGCAACCAATTCACATTTTTCTTTGAGACTTTGCATGTAGTTGCGTTGATCTCATTGTCTTCTTTTGAGTTTGTGTTTTGATCTTCCCAGTCACCATACTAATTTCCTATGGTTAGGTTCTGTTTTTGAGGTTTGCTTATTTTTCCATCCTTTTTCTTTACTTTTAACTTTAACTCCTGGGGTGGAGGAGGGATTATCCTAAGCTTCAGGTTTTTAGTGCTGCTGTGTTCAGAGCTAGTTCTGGGGGATCTGTAAGTTTTCATTCTTCCAAGGTAGTATGATTTAAGGAGAAGTGTGGTCAGTGCTTTCCTGGCCTGTGCTCTGATCTGTTAGGAACCGTAACCATTTTTCTCCACCATAGAACTGTGAACAGGATCCCTGTGCCCCTGAGGCTGCACACTCTAGTGTGCTAGTGCTCCTCTTCCTCCTCACCCTGGGACTGTGACCCAGAACTGCATATGGGCAATGCAATGAGTCCTTTACCCAGTGCCAGCAAAGGGTCTCCTTTTATCTCCTTCTGACCATTTCTTTGACCCCCTTACCTTCTGTGGGCTGAGATCTCCAGAAGGTACGACAGCAACTGATTCAGTCACCTCTAAGGCCTGCTGCTAATTTTCTGGGGCCTGGCCTGCTCTGGACTGTACTCCACTCTCACCCTACCAACAATACATTATATCTTTCCACAGCCTCTGCAACATTTACTATTCCTATCTTTTGTCATCTTTGCCAATTTGCTGGTGTGAGATAAAACCCTAGGATTATTTTGATTTATATTTCTCTTAGTAGTGATTTAGAACATTTTTTCATTTGTTTGTTGCTGGATTACAATTCTTCCTTTGAGAACTGTTTGTTTATATTCTTTAACTACTTATCTATATCGGGAAATCATCTTTAGTTATTATATACATATATGTATATTTTATATATGTTTGGGTCTGTGTGTGTGTGTTAGTTGTCTATATATCTTGGATAATAAACTCTTATCTGAGAAATTTGATACAAAGAATATTTCCCCCATTTTATGACTTCTTTTGTTGTTCTAGATACATTAATTTTGTTCGTGGAGAAGACTTTCAATTTCGCATAATCCGTATTATCAATTTTATCTTTTGTAATTTCATCTGTCTCCTTCTTTAGTTAAGAAAACATTTCCTACCCATAGCTGTGAAAGGTATATGATGTGCTTCTCTGCTAATTGTTCATGGTATTTCATATTAAGGTCATGTATCCATTTCAAATTTGTTATAGAATATGGTATAAGATACTGATTTAAACCTAATTTTTTCCAGATTGCTTTTCAGTTGTTCTCAAAGTTCTTATCATATAGGGAGTCTTTCCTAAGTAATTTATTTGGGGGAGAGGGATTATTGAACTGTAGGTTATTGAGTTTCGTTATTTCTGATTCTCCAATGATTGCATTTTCAAACAAAAGGAAGCATAATTTTCGAAACTTGGCTAGATATACACACACATTTTGTCTTGTCTTGGATATATGCTGTTTATTCTTTTGTGGTGATGAAGGGGATCTCATTATGCTTGCCAAGTACTTTACTACCAACTTCATTATTAGTTAGGTTGGGAAGCTGGGAGTACTTACAAAATGAACAGGCAAATTTCAGTAGGACTGTAACCCTGCAAACTCAGGAAATGAAATTTCTTTGTTGATTTGCTTTTAATTGAACTAATGTGCTCAGAGAGCTGGATGCCTACCTTTACCAATCAATAAATTGACTTGGTAGCAGTTGTTGCAGCTGGGTCTTTTTAAAATTATGAGACATAATATAAAAGGGCCATTTATGCCCCAGTTGTATCCCTTGCATTTTGTTATGTGGTCTGGTTGTCTTTTAATACACAAATGGCACTATTAATTGTATATGATAACAAATACTTTTAGGATAATATTTCATATTAAAATTAAGTTGGTTTCTCATCTTGTAAAATGAGAGGGTTGAACTAGATACTCTCTTTGGCACCTTCCTGCTCCAGGATTCATTCTCTTTTCTTGATCATTATCAGGGAATAGAATCATAATATTATAGAGTTATAGTTGAAAGAAGCTTTAAAAAGCATCTGATTCTCAGATCTTCCACTGATTACCCTATGTGACCTATACATTAATATATATAGGTCACATAGGGTAGTCAGTGGAAGATCTGAGATTTGAATCTCTTGGGTCCACTGCTGTCTCCAAACTAGTGTTCTTTCCGCTATACCTCACTGCTTCCCTTAGTGTGTGAGTAAAAAGTGATTGCATTGGGCACCAGAGGACCTGAGTTTGACTAGTGACTACTGCCTACTCTCTGTGTAACCTTTGAGCTGGTTACTTACCTTCTTCAGGTATCATTGTTCTTCATTTGTAAAATGAGGGGCTTATATTATTTGATCTCTAAAATCCCTTCAATTCCTAAGTCTAACTAAGTGTTATGATACTATGAAGGATCATGGGATTATAGGGTTCCATTTATGAAAATTCATTTTGTATGGTTTTTAAGACTTTCCAGACAAGACACTAATATGGAATTTACTTGCTTTTTTAGCTAAGGGGCAACCTCGCACTGTTTGAAGAAAGATAAAGTTGAAATTGCTTCACTGAAAATCTTTATTGAAGTCTTACTCCTACTCAGGCTTAGCTATCCCTTGCCTGCATATGACTTACAGGTATGTTAATAGGAAACTTTCAATTACATCATATACTGATAATACTAATTTGCTTTACTTAGAAGTAAAAATGCGGTTCAGCTCAAAACTATAATGTATTTTTAATTTTCAGTTTCAGAAACTTGAAGTTTTTGAGTGCCTACTATATATTATTTCTGTTTCTGTTTTTATTTTTAATTTTACATTCTTTTATAGAGTTAGAGCTAGAAGTAACTTTGTAGGTATCTAGATCTGCCCCCTCGTTTTACCAATGAGGAAACTGGGCCCAGAGATATTAAGGGAATTACATAGGATCACCTAAATCATAAGTGACTGAAACAGGATTCTAATCCAGGACCTTTGGCTTCCGTTCCAATTGTTGTTCCATTACATTACCTTTGGGAATGTATTTTTTTAGATAGTGTACACCAAAATGCAATGATATTTCAAGTTTATATTATTAAAGCCAGTAATGGTTACTTTTTTTCTTCTCACCCTTAACAAGATCTGAATTGCCTTTGCATGTATTTTCCTATAGGATCAGACCACTTATTGAAACAAGCAGGAAGAATTGCATGAAGATAAAGAAATGCTTTAGGAGCATACTGGGTCCTTTAGTTTACTGAAGTGTTTGCTTCTTAACATAGTTTTTGCAAGAGTTCAAAAAACAAAATAATGTATCATTCTTTAGACATTCTAATTAGCATTGCAGTATAAAGAATATTTCATTGCAGTTTGGAAACACTGTTATAAACCATAAGTCAGTACACGTTTAATTTGTATTCTTGATGGTTAAATGGCACTTTGTACCTGAAATGAAGGACTCAAGTATCATGTTTGAATATTTAGATGGATGTACAATAGGTTTTTTTTTTTTGTTTTTTTTTTGGTGAGGCAATTAGGGTTAAGTGACTTGCCTAAGGTCACACAGCTAGAAAGTATCATGTTTCTGAGGCCACATTTGAACTCAGATCTTCCAACAATAGGTTTAAAATAATAAAATTATGCCTTTGAATCTAAAACCAATTATGCAAAAAATATACACACTTGCATTTGGTGTGTTGGAAAAATGTAAAGAGGTGTATTGCATATGTAAAGAAAGTAAGTTTTAAAAAATCTTTAAACAGAGGGTTGTATACATTTAATCATCAGATTTTGCTTTTTGACTACCTGCAGAATTCTCCTTAACATTGTAAAATCGCATCTTTTTGGTATGGGAAGGGATCACTCAGATGTTACTTCTTCCTTGAGGCATACCCTGATTCCCTTTGCCATGCTAGTAGCCATGATTCCTCCTTCATTAAATTCCTCAGGCCACTCTATCTGATCACTCCTATAACTTAGTCATGTTCTAACTTTTATTGTAGTTATTTATATGTATATCTTATTTCTACTTTACTTAGTCTCTGCCAGCAAAAAGCTAACAATGTAAAATTTTTGTCACTTTCATTTTTGTATCCTCTACATCAAGGACAGTCTCATACACAGAACAGACATTTAATATATATTTACCAAATTAGATTGAACTTTGGCATTTATAGATGAGGAAACTGAGACCCAGAAACACTATATGAGTTTCTTCATCCACACAGTTAAACCAGAACTAGAAACTAGGTCTGTTTATATGTCAGTATTCTTTCTACACCATACTGCTATAAGTACAAAGATGAACCCCGGAAATTATAGCATATCTAACTTCATAAAATAATTAAATTCCTTAAAAATGGTATAAAGTGAAATTCTCAAGTTTTCCTATTTTGTTTTCATGAAATACAATACTTTGAGGCAGCTCAGTGGATAGGGCATTGGACCTGGAGTCAGGAAGACCTGAGTTCAGATTTGGCCACAGACGCTCACTTGCTGTGTGACCCTGGGCAAGTCACTTAATCTCTATTTGCCTTAATTTACTGGAGAAGGAAATGGCAAACCACTCTCGTATCTTCACCATGAAAATTCTTACAAGATTACAAAGAGTTGGACACAACTAAACAACTGAACAACAACAATAACAAATATTTTGGTGCCTCTGACATTTACTAACTGAGTGACCATGGGCAAATCACTTAACCCTCTTCAGCCTTTGTTTCCTTCTCTGTAAATTGAGAGAGTTGAACTCGATGGCCTCTGGTTCCTTCTTCCAGCTGTAAATCTCTGATTTTGGAATCCTGTGAAGTAGTGGGAAGAAGAGCCAGTAGTAGACCAGAAACTGCACCCAGGGTGCTCTCCAGCTTGTGATAGGCAAGGGAACTCCCTGAATGAACCTAGACAGGTTGAATAAACCTCCATTACCTCCTCTGGACAGTGTCAGGATTGAATTCAATAAACATTGATCGATGCCGCCATCTTTGAAGTCTGTCTTTTAGAAAATCATAATGGAGAGTGTTACTTTTTCAGCTACAGGTTAGGCTGGATGGCCCCCAAAGTCCCTATCCCATCTGCTGTCATTGATTTGAACCTGCCCGTCCTTTCTCGGAAAGCCACAGGCTCACAGGTTTAGAGCCATACAGGACCTTGGAGGCTATCCAGTTCAAGTCTCTCATTTTACAGGAAAGGCAAGGAAGCCTGGAGGCATTCAGTGATTTGTTCAAAGTCATACAGGTAGCAAGTGGCAGAGATAGGGCTTGACTCTGGGTCCTCTGATAGCACATTTAGTACCTTTTCGCTGTATCCCTCCAACCTATTTTCTTCTCTTCCTAGATAAGTACGTATGCGATTTGTTATAAACTTCTTGTGAGCACAAGTTACGCCTTAGTCTTTTCTTTTCTTTTCTTTTCTTTTCTTTTCTTTTCTTTTCTTTTCTTTTCTTTTCTTTCCTTCTTTATTTTTTTTTTTTTTTTGGTGGTAGCCTTCACATCATCTGCTTTGCCCATAGAATGGGCTCAAACAATATTAGGTAATGAGTGAAGAGATGAGTGAATGAAGTCTTCTTAAGAACCCTAAACTTATAAATCACAAGCTTATTGGATACATTCTGAGCCTCATGTCTGCTTTTGTTTTTCTGAAAACTAAAAAATATATATGTGCACATATATATTATAGTTAAGTTTTTGTCTGTCTTTTAATTGAACAAAGGTATTTGTTGTTGTTTTCTGTTTTTAAGATAGGGCACTGAGTAGTCCAAAGGGGGCATGGCAAAGTGGAGAATGCACTAAATTTAGGGTCCAAAGACTGTATTTGAATTGTAGCTGTGCCATTTACTAGCAACTACTTTTGAATCGCAACCAACTAAGACCCAGTTTCATAGATTCTTAGAATCTCAGAAGTGGAAGGAGCCTTAGAGGTCATCTAGTTCAACCCCTTCGAAACAGGATTACTCTTCTACAATATCCTTCATAAGTGATCTTCCACCGTCTGCTTGAAGCCCTGCAGTGACTGGTACCTCACTATGTCCCAGGCAATTCATTCCGTTTTTGAACAGCTATAACTTGGGAAAAAATTCTGTATGTAAAACTGAAACCTGCATCTCTTTCATGTCTTTCTATTCATTGACTCTAGTGATATCCTTTGGGGTCAAGTAGATCAGCTTAATCCCTCTTCTCATGAGAGTCCTTCAAATATTTGAGAACAACAATCATTTCTACCCTTAGGTTTCATGGAAATAATAATACTACTTACCTCCCAGAGTTGTGAGAACTGAATAACATAAAATAAGAAAGTTCTTTTTAATTGTAAAGTACTATGCACATGTAAGATCTTACTGTGTTTTGTAGATGTTTGGTTAAAAAAGGTCTGCTTCCATTTTGCACAATCTAGAGGTTCCTTCTCAGTAGAATATCAAGAAGGAGTGAGAACCAATTTATTTCTATCAATGTGGTTTTCCACACTGAGACTTTTTTTTTTAAGGTGGGGGAACACCTGTGTAATTATGCTTCCTCCTCCTGTTTATTTCTATCCTTTAGCTACTTCACATCTCCATTGGCCTCTCTCAGTCTGCATTTCTACATACAATCACCACAGTAAGGAAGCATGTTCAGTAATGCTTTTGTGTTGACAGCAGCATTTGTTTTGTTTTGTTTATCTGATTGTTCCCTTTTTTGGTTTTCCCCGGGATTTCCAGTTCTTGGAACATCCTTTGGTCAGCAGACGCACTTTTATTTTCACTTTCTAATTTCCAGCCAAGTTGCATATTGAGGTAAAGTACAAAAATATTTCTTAGCATTGTCACATCTTGGCAACAGGAGGTAAACATGTATATGAAATATTTAATCCACAGTTTATATAGACCCCAAGGAATATTTTTTTTCTTTTGGAGAGGGACATATTTATGACTCCCAGCTCTGTGCTTTTTTCATTAAATATTTCCTAGTGTCATGCATTCCTGAGCTCACTTTCCTAATTCTCCCTTGCACTGGGAGGGTGGGTCCCCAAAGTAGAGCTGGCTGCCTCTCCCTTTAGAGATCTAGGAGTAGCCCTGAGCTTGGGTTTTTCTTTTTCTAGTAATACTGCTTATGAGTCCCTACTGATGTGCTTCCTTCATTAATTATCAGTTGATATCAGTTAGGTAGCCAGACTTAACTAGCTATTAGAACTGGGTATTTGCTACAGTGGCATAGTAAGAACAGTTGGTACAAAACACTCCCCCAAACCAGAGGCACGCCCTCTCTCACAGGTCCATGGAGAGTCTATGAAAAAGTGGGCTCAAGCTTAGTGAGCACATGTGGTAGCGAAGCTGGGAGTCCCTTTATCACTCGTGGAGCCTTTGTGAAGTTCCACTTAGGTATGATGTAGCTTTTTACTGGTCTGCTTGTAGAGTCCTGTAGCTGCCTTTCCTCAGCAAGTGTAATTTGTCTTTGGCTCCTAATCATTAGATGTTCTGGAGACATTGCTAAGATGCCCTTGGGAAATCCTCAGTCTCACTACCTTCTGAGGTTCACAAGGTCATCCTGTAGACAAGCAGGAAGACGAGTCAGATACTTTCTTCCCCCCACCTCCAAATAGCTCCCTCCTCTAGCTTGGCTTGCCACTAGAGAATGCTAAGTTCCAAATGGATATGCTCTTTTATCCCAAATCCATAGGATATG